AAAATCCTTCCAAGTGCACTAGAGCACCTTCCGAGCTCGTTCGGGGCCCGTAGGAGTTGTGCAGGCAGATCTATTCCAGCCGAACAATTTCGGCTCCGGCTTCTCTTTTCATTACGATCGCCCATTTTTTGCTTCGGGAGGGGGTGCGCACGCACAATCGCAGCACCGATCAGCTGTTAAGCAGCTGTTCGGCAGGACTAAAACAGCCATTTTTCTCCCCTTTTCGATACCGGCCGCACTCCTCTTCCAGGCTGAGTTCTTGGATCGGACAGGCCTCTGTGAGTCTGCCCTCACATGTGGCCACCATTTTGGACCGCGTGGTCAGTCAAACTTGCCTTTTCAAATTCAGGGGTTTCAGGAGGAAGGGGATCCTTCCTTCTCAACACTGAAAACTAAATTCAGAGAGTGGGCTCTCGCTGGGGGGGGGGGAGGTATTCAAAGATAAGTGGGCAGCTAGATTTGGTGTCTCCTGGTTTCTACATTGTCAATATCCATACAATTTGGCTCAATCCGGATTCCAGGCACCCCTAGTAGTGTGTCTATCCTTATCCGTGTAACAGCTATACTTGGATTCCAGGTGCCCCCAGTAGTGTGCCTGTCCTTATCCACAGTATTTAAGCCCGGATTCCAGACGCCCCCAGTAGTGTCTGTCCTTATCCGTGCACAGCCATAGTTGGATTCCAGGCGTCCCCAGTCATGCGCCTGCTCTTATCCACGCAGAGGCTGTACCCGGGTTGCAGACGTCCCCTGTAGTGTGTCTGTCCTTACCCAGTGTGTAATACTCTCCAGATACCAGGAGCCCCCTATTGTGTTCCTGTGCTATCAAAGAATGGAGGACTCTGCCCTTGCCTCAAGCGGCGTCTTGCCATCCTCATTGGGTCTACCTGGTCTGGAGGGCGTTGATAAGACAGTTGCCAAAACCAAGATCAGATCTACCACCAAAACTTCCAAAAGAACAGACAAACAGGCCAACCGGAGACACCAAGCCTTAGAAAAGGAGTTTTCCAAGGCGCAGAAAAAAGCCAGGTTGGAGACATCCCAGACGGAAGGGTTGGCTCTTGACTTACCCCTGGGGGCTCCAACCTCCCCTCTGGGGATTTTGTCAACGGGGGAATCCTTACATTCCCCTGCGCAGTGCGGGACAGGCGAGTTTCTCCCCATTTCCCAATCCACTACTGCACGGGTTCCTCAGGGGACTCCCGAGGCCACATTCACCCCTATTGCGGCAGGACTCCGGCCTAGCGAGCTGGTCTCCTTCCCCACGGAGGACCGCCTAGCCTTACTGATCGCGCAAGCAGTAGACCGAGCCCTTGATGCCAGGGACAGGCTTCCAGACCAGTGACATTCCCCGTCCTATACAACAATCGGTGACTGAGACCTATTATAATCCTTCCTCCCCATCTGGGTCATCAGTTTCTGAGGGTTCTTGCTTCCACCAGCCTGGCACAGACCAGGAGATTCCAATGTCTGAAGAGGAGGAAACTCCTCCAGAGGCTCCTTCATTCAGCAGCCTCTTCAATCCTTCGTTCTTTGTCACCTTACTACGTAAGGCCACATCTACTGCCCATCTTGGGCCAGAGCCTTCATCAACAACGACCCCCGGTCCCCCAGACTCGGAGGCACACCCGAACTTCATCGAATTGGTGGCGGCTCAGCACCGCATCCCTTGCCTTTCTCTGTTTCTGAATGCGATCCGGAAACAGTGGACATCTTCGGCTTCTCTTCCCCTCCCAGGTAACACTGACAAAAAATTGTACAATGTTGCCAAGGATATGGAGGTACCAACCGTGGACGAACCTTTAGGTCCCCTAGTATTGGCCACCGCCATTTCCGAGGATGTCTCTGAGGCCCTCAAAGCTGAGGATCGCAAGTGCGAACCCACCTATCGTAGAACGCACCAAGCGGCCACTTGGGCGAACAGGGCCACAACCTCCGCCTCATTTTTCAACACGTCCGCCCTCCGCTGGCTCCGGCAACTTCAAGCCCAGATTCCAGCGGAGGATATCCGTACACACCAGGACCTTAGCAAAATGGTAGCAGCCACCGAGTATGCATCAGACGCAACCCTCCAAGCCACCAGATTCTCATCCAGGGCTATGGTGTCCAGTATCACTGGTCGCCGTATGCTTTGGTTGAAACACTGGCAAGCAGACGTTAAGTCTAAGTGGAAGCTGGCGGTTGCTCCATATCAGGGGGGGAAATTGTTTGGAGATGCCCTAAATCCCTACCTAACAGAAAATAAGGATAAACGCAAGGTCCTTAATTACCTCCTCAAAACATCAGACAAACGCTCCACTTATTATCCATGAAGACAGTCCTTTCGGGCAGGAGCTAGATACAATTACACCCAGCCCTTCCACCCCTTCCCGGCCAGGCAAGATAAGCAGGAGAGACAGCCTGATAGACAAACTCCCAGGCCCAGACAACAATCTCAGGATAAGCGGCCCTTTCGAGGGAACGGCAGGCCATTTCTCCGCTCCAGGTGACTCTCCATCAGTACCTCCCATGGGGGCAGACACAATCTGGCCTCCATCAAGGCCGATCATATTTCAGGGGAAGCGAACACCCAGGCCAATCTTCTGAGCAGGACAACGGTAGATCACTCGGAATGGCGCCTACACCCGAGGGTCTTTAGGGAAATTTGTCACCGTTTCGGCCTTCCACTTCTGGACCTCTTCGCATCCCCGGCCAACACCCAGCTGACTCACTTCTTCTCCCGGTTCCCATCTGCGGGGGCAGAACAGATGGATGCTCTTCAGAGCCCATGGCCGCAGGGTCTGCTTTACGCTTTTCCCCCCTCTACCTCTTCTCCCGGCGGTAATACGCAAGCTTCTTCGGGAGCGAGCGGAGATACTCCTGGTGGCCCCTTATTGGCCAAGGAGACCTTGGTTCGCCAATCTGATGAGCCTTTTCCTCGCAGACCCTTGGCAGATTCCTCCGGAATGGGTCTCTCTCAGCCAAGGAGCTATTCTCCATCTGGACCGCCAATGGCTCCAGTTAGTCGTTTGGCACTTGAGCGCTCAATTGTAACAAGGGAGCTTTGCTCGCCAGGGGTCATCACAGTAATCCAGGCCTTCGCCGTCCTTCCACAAACCATATTTATGAGGCAACGTGGAAAAACTTCCGATTGTGGTGCTCTGGGTGACAGTTGTCGCTCTCAGAACTCACAATTCCCCATATCTTGGATTACTTGTTAGACTTGGCCCCAAACACATTGCGCAGACAGGTTGCCGCTCTTTCCACGGTCCTCACATGTGACTCAGCGGGGGCGTTGGGTCATCACCCCTTACTCCGCTCATTCCTTAAAGGGGCCGCTAACACCAGACCCCCTACTGTGAACAGATACCCTTTGTGGGAGTTACCACGGGTCCTTCGGGCTCTTACTAAGTTGCCTTTTGAGACCCTAAGGACGTGCGACTTTCGCTACCTGTCCCACAAGGTGGCATTCCTGGTGGCAATCACGTCGGCATGACGCATCTCCAAATTAGCAGCGCTCTCAATCCCGGATGACTTGTGCATTTTCCATCAGTATCCTTCGACTCGACCCTATCTTCGTCCCGAAAGTCAATTCTCTGTTCCATAGATCACAGGAGATAGTGCTGCCGGATTTTTGCCCTAACCCATCGCACACTCTGGAACGGCAATGGCATAGTTTGGATGTCCGTAGAGCACTTCGGTACTATATTTCACGGACAGCGGAATTCCGCAAATCTGAAGCCCTCTTTATATCTTTCCACTCTTCCTCCAAAGGTCGGAAGGTTTCCTCTTCCACAATTGGCAGGTGAATTAGAGCATGCATCGCCGGAGCGTATCAAGCTGAGTCATTGCCAGTTCCAAGACGGGTTACATCCCACTCCACACAGAGTGCTGCTACTTCAGCAGCCTGGGCTACCCAGGCATCCATGAGGAAGTTTACAGGGTGGCCACATGGGTCTCATCATCTCCTTTCATTCGGCACTACAAGATCAATAGGTTTTCCTCCACGGAGGCTTCCTTCGGTAGGAGGGTTCTCCAACAGGTTATACATCAAAGTGCCACACCGGACCAGTCTGCTTTCCACCCTCAGGGACAGTAGGCTTTGGTATGTCCCACTGGTGGATTCTCCATCTCCAGTGCTGGAGAAGGGGCGTTGTCTTACCTGAACGCCTTTTCTCAGCACGGAGATGGAGAATCCACTCTCACCCTTGAAGGTCTAGGCCTAAGGTTAGTCTTAGTTTTGTGAGCCACGTCTTGCTGTCAGTGGCTACGCTCGCGTCAAGACTGGGATCTCTATGGTCCTGGACAGGCGTGGCAACTTTGGCTGACTTGATCTGATTGGGCAGGAATACAGTCTAAACCCATTGGTGGATTCTCCATCTCCGTGCTGAGAAAAGGCGTTCAGGTAAGACAACGCCTCTTTTCAATGCTTATATAAAAGGTAGAGTGTTTTGTCCTGATTCTGCCTCTCTTTTAATTTTTATGACAGCAGATGCTACTTAACAATATAATTTTTACTTGAAACAGTATTTGGAACAATTGCTTTCAATTTCATGTAGTGCATTGCTATTTCTTAAGCTGCCCTTTTTTTTTTTCAAATATGAGAGGCAGAAATGGGTTTCACTTGAGTAAAATCTAAAACACTTCTTCCAAATCATTTTCAAGCCATGAACAACCCAATAAATACTTTTCTAGGTATTCTTTTGCCAATGTAATCCTTTTTAAGGAAGTAATTTCCAAAACATAGAATGAAAGCCATTTTAAATTAGAGATGGAGAAATATCCTCTGCCCTTGTACGGCTGCATCAGTTGGGAAGCACAGATAGCAAAAGTTGAGTCACCTTTAAACAAGAAGTCTATCAGTTATGTCCATTTCATTCACATTCATCTGTGCATTTAGGACTGAGAATTCAGTGCATACATTTTCATGAAAACTCAGGGTGAGAATTTTTACAGTACATTGTTTACAGGATTTTCTATTTACCATTTGTAGTATTTCATTTTTCCCCTTTTACTTTCTCTAGGGAGCTGGTGACAGTTTTGTTGGAGCATTTGCATTCTACCTGGCTCACTACCCCAATCTACCTCTACATGAAATGCTGAGGAGAAGTAACTTCATAGCATCCATTAGCACTGAAACAACTGGGACACAGACTTCCTACCCTTATAGAAAGGATCTGCCACAAAACCTATTTTAAGCTGTGTAAAACATTAGATTTTTCTCTGCTCAAACTTTTAAACAAATGCCAACTACACAGATGCCAAAATGAAAATTGTATAAATTGTATGTTTTTGCTTAGCCTTATCCTGAATGAGGTGTACATGGTGTCACACATTGCAATTCCAGTTTAGGATACAGCATTTCAGCTGATACAGTAAGATTATTTCCATGTCTTGGTCACTTAAAAGCAAGGACCCTTTTATTACTGTATGTTTTAAAATTGTAACCCTACTCCGAGAATAAACTTTTTGCACAATTTGGAAAGTCTTTGCACTGAGAAACAGGATGATCAAAGCAGAAATAACTGTTGAATATTTATACTGAGGCAAAGCATACACAAAAAGGTAAGGTTCACTTTTGTGGTAATTCAGTTGCCATGACTCAACTTCCAGACGTAATTGTAGAAGTTATTAACTTTTAAAAACAATGGAATTTGAAAAATCTTTGTCATGGTCCCTATACTTTCCTGAATATGAGATATGTGCCAAAAGGCATTTGTTTAAAATGCTTCTATACTGTTTCACTCACTCTTAAGCAATTCACAGCATATATGCAATAATACACTACAAACATAATTACTTTACAACATTCAAACTATGGTGATACAGCCAGCAATCACAGTAGGATTAATCTTCATCCAAGTTCCCACAATCACAAGTAAAACCACTGCATACCCCTCAATTCCAACCACTCTTTGGAAAAGCCAAGTTTTATAAACTCCCTAAATATCAAGAACAAGGTGAAGGAGTTAATTCTGGTTGGAGTCCATTTCACAGCAAAGCAGTTCCTGCAGAAAATCCACGTATGTGCCCTCCTGCACCTCATTCTGCAGGCATATACTGGATGTGTAGATTCTATTTGAAGAATATCTATGGAGATTCTCAGTCATCCAGGTCATGGTTGTCTCAAAGGTGCTTTTTCAGGAGGCAACTAGTTTTTTTCTTTGAAGATGTTTCGCTTCTCATCCAAGAAGCTTCTTCAGTTCTGACTGGATGGTGCTGATTAGATTCCCCACCATCCAACCAGAGCTGAAGAAGCTTCTTGGATGAGAAGCGAAACATTTTCAAAGAAAAACAAACTCCAGTTGGCTCCTGAAAAGGCACTTTTGGAATATCTGAATAGAATTTAAATATTCTGTTAGATACCTGGGTTCTCCTAAGCTTTGTGATACTTTAAAAAGAATGACCAGCATCTTGAAATGCATGGGATGAGGGATTTGACAGAACTTTCCTGAAGCACTTTTTATATTTGAGATGAAACCATAATAATGAATTTTTAAAAACTTTTTTGTTTTGATGATTGTTTCAGTTTGTGCTATGGATGTTTATGGGATATGGTCTTTTGGGGGGGTACAACAAAGTATCTTTGCAGTGGTACAGAAATCTAATAAAGTATAATAACATCAGTCAACTGTAACTGCTTTCCTTAGAAAGCAGTATAAGTCCATCTGCCTTCCCGTATATCTGAGACCGCTAATCAAACTAGGCAAATTATTCCATTGTTCGGTTTTGTAGCTACATGGAATGAATGTTTCTCAGGAGAATATAAACTTCCCTAAATCTGTTTCTCCCAGATGTGTTTGAACTATCATTTCCACAATTTGCTGGAATCTATAGAATTTCAGTGCAAAAGACTGAAGAAGCCTCTTGTAGGTAGTTTCGTCTCTTGTGTTGAAATGAAACATATACACAATGGATTCAGAATTTTAATTCACAAGTGTGAAAACAAAATAATTGATGAAGATCCATTTCTAAATATCAGTGATTTTCCATGTTTTTATTTACAATGGGCTTTGACCATCTCAGTTCATTTTCTCTTTTCAGCATCGCCAACTGCATATTTCCTTGTATACATCTTCACAAATCTTCTTTGCCAAGCATCAGTTACACAGAACAGATCTTTTTATGCTCTTTGAAGAGGACTTTCTGTTTGACTATGAAAAGACAAAAAGAAAATCCCTAAAATTATGCCAACTTACATGCTTACATAAATACAACTAAATCAATGATTGGTTCAATTGTATGTCTTTCATCACATGAGGGAGGAAATGAATATGATGTACAACAAATATATTGTAGGCCACCTAGAGTCTATATTACTTAGGGTGCATTACAAATACTACAAAATAAGTAAAGAAAATTTTACTTATTTTATTTAAAGTGTTATGGTTTGAAACCTAAATGGTAAGGAACAAATAGAAAGAATATCAATGTATATGAAATTCTTTATAGGTTTCAATGATTTAACACCAAAATTTAAAAATATTGAGATCATTAATTGTACATTTTCCCTGAATAATTTTTCTTACAGTTCTAATCTAATTTATATCAGTGATATAACTTCTAAAATAATTCTTCATCTAAAGCAAAGTATATACAGTTCTTTCTAGTTTATATCAGATATTGTTTCTTGCTTGGATCATTTGATCAACTAGACCACAGGTCAGCAACCTGCGGCTCTGGAGCCGCATGTGGCTCTTTGAGCCTTCCCCTGTGGCTCCCAGCCTCCTCTGCCATTTGCAGAGAGAGACAGAGACAGAGAGAGGCACTTGCGCTTCCTTGCTTCTCTCTCTCTCTCTCTCTCTGTGTGTGTGTGTGTGTGTGTGTGTGTGTGTGTGTAAAACAGAGTAGACTCACAGTGTTCTCCGACAAGCTGAAAAGCTTTTTGGGCGGGGCTCCTCCCTTTGCTGCATCTCTGCAGGAAGCAGGAAACAGGAAGGGCAGGAGAGAGCTAGCTAACCCAGCTATGCTGACTCAGGAATTCTGGGAGTTGAAGTCCATTAGTCATAAAAAGACCAAGGTTGCCTATCCCTGAGCTTGTTGGAGAACAGCTTGAAGCCAGCTTGCCAGGTGAGCAGCAGATCGGAGAGAGGGAGAGACGGGGGGGGAGAGAAAGAGAGAGAGAGGGAGGGAGAGAGAGAGAGAGGAAAGAGAGAGAGAGAGAGAGAAAAAGAGAGTGGGGGAAGAGGACTGGCAGACCAAAGGCAGAAAGAGGGAGAGGGAAAGGGAGGAAGGGAGAGAGACAGAGAGAGAGAGACTCTTTTGTCATCTAAAATGAAGATAACTGCATATATCCTGTTTTACCTTTATGATATATATATATATATATATATATATATATATATATATATATATATATATATATATATATATATATATATATATATATATATATATATATATTAAAGGTAAAAAAGGATATATGAAGTGTTATCTTCATTTTAGATATTAAAAGGGTTTTGCGGCTCCCAGTGTTTTGTCTTCGGTGGGAAATGGGTCCAAGTGGCTCTTTGAGTGTTTTGGGTTGCCTACCCCTGAACTAGACCAAGAGTTTCGGGAAGGACTCTTGAACAATTTATTTAGGAACTGACCAATATCATCTGCTGCTCATTTTAAACAGATCTAAATTAGATTGCAGCTTTACTGAAGTATAATCACAATGTTCAGGAATAAATCTCTGCTGAGAAAATATGTTCCTTAAATTAGAAATGGGACATAAACGTCCCTCAGGGATGTAGGCACACAGTACAAATATTTGTAGAGAAAGAACCTTGGCAAGCAGGAATTCAAATAGCTGTAATGGGTTATAAGAGTAACCTTGAGGAACAGGAGGAAGAACTGCAACCAAGACAGGCTAAAGAAATTTGAATCCTAGACAGAATTGTAATTTGAGAAAGCATCTCAGGTTTGACACTTCCTAGTTCTCTTGTAGATAAAGAGGGAGGATGGGAGGCACAATCAGACTTGCGAGATTCCTATAATAAAATTGTATTAGTATTCATAGGTTTGCTTTCTTATTCTAGCTTGAAGGGCTAAAACAGCTTATCAATATAAGCTCTTAAGATTTTTTCTGTAGGCATGTACTGGATTTGCTGAATCACACACCTTACAGAGGGGATGCTACTTAAAGAGAGCCAGCTCTTAAGAAATGTTGAGTACAACATTCCTCAGGTGTTACTGGGGAAACCACATATGTGTAGAATACAATATAGCTATAAAGATAATGTAGGCCATCATGCTGCTGCAATTACATTGTACAACTTAAAGAACCACAAGCTCTGATGCTAACATTCAGTTTCAAGCATTTATGGCAGAACACCCTAACTTTCTTTCCAATTGAGAAATCCCTCCTTAAACTTTTCTGTGTCTCAATATCTTTGAAAAATTATTTGTATCTTAGAAGATTACTGCCAGCACATCGCCAGAATCTACCTTTACCTTTTTACTCAATCTTGACCAGTGCTTCTATTTAACAACAAATGCATTACATTAACAGGCCTCAATTTTATCTATTACTGTAGTATGTACCAAAGTCTGATATTTTTTCATACTGTTCAGGAGTTTTTAAAGATTTCAATACCTTGAATATTTCTACTCAAACCATTTGGATACTGTATGTTATACTAGAGGTTTCAGCATATATTTTGTTTGCATTCAATACATGGTGACAAAAATATTCCTCCCATTTATAAGCCCCTATAAAACACTCTTCAATTTCTTACCAATGCGATCATATCTTAGCATTACCAGCTTGTCTTCAAGTCGGAGTCTTTTTACATTAAAAGAACAACCTGTTCCTGCTTCACTGAGCATTCTCACAAGTATATACCTAGAATAATAACATCAAGAACACCTTTTTATTTTCTGTAATTAATTTTTGTCTTTATGGTACATGCATGATTGCCTATTAACATATTTAATTTAGAATTTCCCTATTTTCCACAATATTTTTAGATTAAGATTTTTTTAAATAAGACAATTACTTGCAGTGAGAAGTCCCAAAAGCAAGCCTTTATTAGCTATCTCTTTTTCTGTTGTAGCCCTGTATGTCCTACCAACCCTCCGTCCCACCAATACCTATAAAGAGCTACTGGGGAAATGAGGTGTTTGCAGTTTCATTATCCACCTATACTGGAATAAAGAAAGCAATTCTCTAAAAAACTTAACTGGCCACATTCTATATGATACTGCATTAGCTCTTAAATATAGAAGAATTAAAATGCATAACGGACATAACTAAGCATGCTGGTTTTATTTCCTACATTTCTGCTTCTACCACTACATCAATCTGAGAGATTAAAGGAAAAGCTGAGTTCACTTAATATTTACTTAAATGAGCAGCTCTTTTTCAAATAATCTCAGACTATGATTACAGAAAGAACCCAACTGCCATTAATAGCAGCAGTTATCTGAACTGTACAGTTTTAGAGTAGTAAATGCAATTCAAATGTTTACTTACTTTGATTTGGTTTTCTTGGCCACTGCAGAATAAAAAAGAAAAAAATATTAAAATGTTTTAATTTTAATTACCAATATACCAAATTATTTCTACATATATTTTATTTTGTTAAACCAACTAATAACCTAACCTATGAGCAACTGACAATTAAATGAACTAAAATATAACCTGACTTAAAACATACAATATGATAAAAATCAAGTAACATATAAAATTTTTAAAAAACCTATTAGCTAGCCAGCAGCAAAGCAGTCACTCAAAAACTAAGAATGGAAATTAATTAAAAGGCCTGGGAGAACAAAAATATCTCTACCTGGCACTAACATGCAACCAACATGGGTATCAGTCAAGCCTCTCAAGACGGGATTTCATAAAAGGGGTACCACCACAGAAAAGGCTCTTCTCCCCTGTAAAGACCCACCTCATTTCCTTTGGTGAGAAGACCTGGTGAGAGGAGGGTCTCATTAAATGATCTTAGGGTCCAGTACATATAGAAGGTACTCACATTCAGGCAACCTAGTATTAAGCTGTTTACGACTTTAAAGATCAAATCCAATATTTTTAACTGGATCTGAAAATGAGCTGGTAGCCAATCTAGATGGTGAAGAACTGACATGTTTGTACCAACTATCTCAGTGAGCAATCTAGCCTAGTTAGCAGTCTATTTTGAATTAACTAAAGTTTCCAGGCTGTTTTCAAAGGCATACAACACATTGAAAATCCAGCTATGGAAGAAAAATGAGCAGCATTTAAAACCATTTAAATAATATTCAAAAAAATGACTCACCATATTTTAACATACTTTTCTAACGCAAATTTAAAGATTCCAGACAAGATATAGTTTATTTACTTAGGTAGTGTGCCATCTATTCTTGATAATATATAGTACAGTGGTGGCAAACCTATGGCACGGGTGCCAGAGGTGGCACTCAGAGCCCTCTCTGTGGGCACGCATGCCATCACCCCAGTCCTAGGCCTTCAGCTGGGTTTTATAAAACCTTTTCGCTTTAGGCCTCCGCCACCATGTACAAAAAAAAAAGGTTCAATCAATCAATTTCAACTTCTCACGGGAAAAAAGATCTTGCAAAGTTGAATTGATTGATTGAATTTTTTAGTCCCACCCAGTCTGCCGTTACCACCGCAGCCACAGCCACCCAATGGGCCACGCCCACCGGGCACTCAATGATGCATAAGTGGGTTTTGGATTGCAGTTTGGGCACTCAGTCTCTAAAAGGTTCGTCATCACTGATATAGTATATACATTTTTTTCTCCTTTCAGGTCAAGTATTTTGACTCCTGGATGCTATCAATAATTCCTGAACAGATTCCAGAACATTCCTCTACCTGTGCCATACACTTCAGCAGAAGGGCAATGCCTTAGGTCCCTCCTCTGAAACAAGGTCATTTTATGAGACCCAGGAGGCATACTTTTTTGTGGTGGCACTTGCCTTCTGAAACAATCTTCCACAACTTACAGTTGGCTCAAACCTTGCAAGCCTTTAGAAAGGCAGTGAAGATCTGGCTTTTTCCTGACATTTGGATTAGAATGAGTAGGATTCCCATCTAGTGACTTGCAATAAATGTAAGTCCCTGATTATTAATAGTTATCTGTTTTCTGTTATCATTACCATTATCACATTTTGCTTTTAGCACTGTTTTTTGTATGCTGCCTAGAGTTACAGTTCTTGACATTCCAAGGTCCTGTATACTCACTAAAGCTGTTGGCAGCCGTAGCTCTGTAACATCATTACTGTCACAACCTCTCCCTATGTAACTTTGCTCAGTAGTCAATTTCTCATCTTTTTAAGAATATAATTTGTGTATCATTAAACCATAGTTCATTAGTTGTATTTGTTAAAGCTTTTCAGATTGTAAAACTGAATCAGAGGCATTGCTTTTAATATTGTGAAAATGCAGCACCTCTGTGCTATTCATTAAAGCTGGAATTGAGGAAATTTGCATGTTGCAGTTAGTCTTTTTCCAAGACTGTGGTGCAGTTGCATAAGGCAGCCCTTTGATGCTAGGAAAAGACGTAGCTATATCAAACAGATGCAAACGGATTCTGTAGAAGTCGCCCACATTTTCCAAAAGCACCCTTTCCCTCCCTGAATCCCTGTATGTTCATTAGCTTTTCTCCACTTTTCCCATCTTCTCCCTACTTCAGTGATAAACCTTAACAAATTTATCTCAGGAATGCAAGAGAAAGCAACCTCCGTTTAGCCTACATTCTGTGCAGAATGGACGATTAATGTATATAAAAATCTCTACTCGATTCCCAAATGATGGGATAGGTTAGTGTAACCACAATGTAGGACCGCCAATCACTAAGCGGCCGATCCTTCAGGAACCAGGCAGACAAAGATTAGAAACGGGACCTTCGCCCCGCAGCCGCCTCGCAGCCACCCCGCCAGCGCTAAGATGAGCGTGGACCAGCCTTAATGAGAAGCGTCTTAAGCGTTTTAAGAGGCTTAATCCAAGAAGTAACCTCGGGTTCCTGAGCCGTATTCCAGGGGAACAGGGCAATGGGTTCCAACCCACGGGAGACTTGGTACTGTTGCACCCGCACCACACGAAACTTCCCCAAAGGGGACTCCCAGTCAACTCACAATTGACCACCGTCAGAAACATGGCAATGACGAAAACGGCAACTAAACGTAACCGTCTAAAATACTTCAAATAACCCCGACCGGCGAGCCATAAACACTTCCAAATACTTCCGGAGCGTGAGCTCTTTTATTTCCGCCTCGCTAAAACCCCGCCTCCTGTCATCTGAAAGACTGTGTTTTATTTTAGAGCGTGTCCTTTTTCTCTGTGAATCGGCTGAGTCCTTCCTCTCTAGTTGGTCTGACAACAGGTGGTCTCTCCGGTCTTTCGGAGCGTGAATTTAGCCTTTAGCCAGCGGGATTCATGTTGATTTCCTGTGCTCCATCTTGATTGCTAGATTCCAATACGAGGCTTCTGGAATAAAACACTAGGCAGAATAGACCAGCTCTTGGTTTGCCTGATAAGGGCCTAATAAGGAATGCAAATTCTTTTCCAATTTTTTCCCATCATTGTCATCGGACCATGGTACACATTTACCCATCCATGCATATGTAATAAATATGTATGCTTATTCAGATTAGGGATTACCCAGTTTTTGAGATTCCTCCACGTAGTGGCCACAGTGATTTCATCCAAATCTAAAATACTATTGGCTAGCCTGAGGCTCAATTTGTTAGGCAAACCTTACCATCCAGTTCTATTTATATTGTCCCACAGGTGTTGAACTGAACTGAAGAAGCTTCTTAGATGAGAAACGAAATGTTTTCAAAGAAAAAACAAAGTCCAGTTGCCTTTTGAAAAAGCACTTTGGGGACAACCATGACCTGGATGATTGAGAAGCTCATGGATGATTGAGAATCTTCATAGATATTCTATTTATATTCAAGTGACTTGTAAGTATTACAAGAGAGGAATCTATTCATTACTGAATTCTTTGTGGCCCATAAGGATCAATGCTATGCATTGCAGGTCCTTTCTATGTCATTATTGCTTTAGTCTGCTTCATCCTTTTTTACATTTTTGTAAACAGTACCTGATTTGTCAAAGAGATCCCTAGATATTTCCAAAGAACAAACAAATATTAATTAGTCTGTTGCACCATGTAGAGCTGCAACCTAGCAAACTTTTCAGGCGTGAACAGGAGACGGGGAAGCATATAGTTGAGATACAGAAAGACACATCTGCATAGCAATTCATAATATGTCAACAGGATTGAAAGCTGGGAAAATACTTGTTTAAATATGATGAGGTTACCAAATTTGTTAATGAACATCTGCAAGGAAACCACAAAGGTCAGAGAGTACCAAGGACTCCACAGTTGTTCAAATAAGAAATTTTTTATATCTGTACTTTTGATAGTGGAAAAACAAGTATTATAACAAATAGTATTCTTCTATTTGGTCTGTAAATCTGAAGATGAGAACTTCAGAAACACAAATGGGAGTCTTTACATTATTAAATAAGTTAATTACCTGGATGAAAAATGGAGTTAGAACAAGGGGTTGAAAATCAATAGTCTAAGAGCATATCTACATTTTAATACCAGATTATAACCAAAGACTATTGAATCCACTGTTTTCTTTATAACTGCTTCCAGGTAGAATCATTTCTTTCCCATCATTATTCCCCAGCATTTGGATATCTGGAGATATACCATCCCTAATCAGTAAGTAGCTGATTGAGTAATAGCAATAGAACTTGGACCTATATATCACTTTATAATGCTTTACAGCACTCTCTAAGTAGTTTACAGTGTCAGCATATTCCCCCCAACAATCTGGGTCCTCATTTTATCGACCTTGGAAGGATGGAAGGCTGAGTTAACTTTGAGCCATCAGGATCACACTCCTGGCTGTGGGCAGAGTTAGCCTGCAATACTGCATTCTAACCACTGCGTCTCCACAGCTGCTGGTAATGTAATTTATATGTCACAGCAAAAACTTCCCTAAAATGGCAGTTCTATTATTACTAAAATATGAATCCCATTGGACTTTAACTGAGATTTTAGCTTTTGTTGTTCAAATGTAAATAACAACAACAACAATAGAGTCGGAAGGGACCTTTGAGGTCTTCTAATCCAACCTCCTGCTCAGACAGGAAACCCTATTCCATTTCAGACAAATGGCTGTCCAGTCTCTTCTTAAAAACTTCCAGTGTTGGAGCATTCACAGTTTCTGGAGTCAGGCTGTCCCACAGATTAATTGTTCTAACTATCAGGAAATTTCTCCTTAGTTCTGGGTTGCTTCTTTCTTTGGTTAGTTTCCATCCTTTGCTTCTTGTCCTGCCTTCAGGTGCTTTGGAGAATAGCTTGACTCCCTCTTCTTTTTGGCAGCCCATCATGGACCATCTTGGATCATCATATTCCATTCCAATACCAAATAGGTCACCCACACTATAAGTTTATCTAATCATTGTTGGGGTAATATGAACACTGTGCACAATAGAAATTCATTACTAAAGCAATGCAGGCAGTCCTTGACTTACAATGGGTCAATTAATGAGTGTTTAAAGTTACACTGGTCTCAGAAAGGGTGGTTTATGGCCCATGCAGTACTTTTGGCCATTGTAAAACATTGTGCTGACAGCCTCAGGTCACCTGACTGCATTTCAGAGGCACTTGGCAACTAGCTCACATTTATGATCAGTTGCAGTGTCCCATAGTCATGGGACTGCAGCTCATTTGGGAGAATAAATTCACTTAATGATCACATGCTTCAAACATACAACTGTGTGATTTACTAAAAACCATTGTAAAAATGATTGAAAAATCAGGTCAGGTGGGTTCTTCAACTTATGATAGCAACGACTTATGACTTAAAATTTCAGTCCCAATCATGGTCATAGGCAAGGACTACCTGTAGATAGATGATGCTATCAGACGTTAGTGAGGATGTTGCTGTGCATGTTAAATGAGGTGTATAGTTGAACTTAAAGCAATCGTGCAAATTCTGCCTTTCAGTAGAGCTGTCGATGTGTATTCCATTATGGACTATCATGTAAGAGCTGACAGTTGCCACTTGACTGATGACAATGTTTAGATAAAATATTTTAGTAGGAGCTAGGATGGTTCAAGAACAGAATAGGTGCTTTATCTTATCTCCATCCTCTTTCCTTGCTGATTAATGGATTTATCCATCTTGTGGGTAGCAGGACCTGTATTAGAATGTACAAAAATCTGTGTTAGCTTTGGGAAAGAACTTCTGTGTCATTAAGATTTCCTCTAGAAATTTGAGAGAGAAATATACTGGAACTTACTGTTGTGAATTCTCATCTTATGCTCAACTTATAGGCACATGCATAGATATAAACTATATTTGTTGTTAATTGCGAAGTCGTGTCCGACCCATCGCGACCCCATGGACAATGTTCCTCCAGGTCTTCCTGTCCTCTACCATCTTCTGGAGTCCATTTAAATTCACACCTACTGCTTCAGTGACTCCATCCAGCCTCTCATTCTCTGTCGTCCCCTTCTTCTATTGCCCTCAATCTTTCCCAGCATTAGGCTCTTCTCCAGTGAATCCTTCTTTCTCATTAGGTGGCCAAAGTACTTGAGTTTCAACTTCAGGATCTGGCCTTCTAAAGAGCAGTCGGGGTTGATCTCTTCTAGGACTGACCGGTTTGAACGCCTTGCAGTCCAAGGGACTCGCAGGAGTCTTCTCCAGCACCATAGTTCAAAGGCCTCAATTCTTTTGCGCTCAGCCTTTCTTATGGTCCAACTTTAACAGCCATACATTGCAACTGGGAAAACCATGGCCTGGACTATACGCACTTTTGTTGGCAGGGTGATGTCTCTGCTTTTTAGAATGCTGTTAGATTTGCCATAGATTTCCTCCCCAGGAGCAAGCGTCTTTTAATTTCTTGGCTGCAGTCCCCATCTGAGGTGATCTTTGAGCCCAGAAAAATAAAATCTGTCACTACCTCCATTTCTTTCCCATCTATTTGCCAGGACTTGAGAGGGCCGGATGCCATGATTTTGGTTTTCTTAATGTTGAGTTTCAAGCCAACTTTTGCACTCTCCGTCTTCACCCGCATCAAGAGGCTCTTTAGTTCCTCTTCACTTTCTGCCATCAGAGTGGTATCATCTGCATATCTTAGGTTGTTGATATTTCTCCCGGCAATCTTAATTCCAACTTTTGATTCATCTAGCCCTGCCTTTCTCATGATGTGCTCTGCATATAAGTTAAATAGGCAGGGCGACAGTATACAGCCTTGCCGGACTCCTTTTCCAATTTTGAACCAATCAGTGGTTCCGTGTTCAGTTCTCACTGTTGCTTCTTGACCCACATATAGGTTTCTCAAAGAGACAAATGAGATGGTCTGGTACTCCCATCTCTTTAAGGACTTGCCACAATTTGTTGTGATCCACACAATCAAAGGCTTTTGCATAGTCAATGAAGCAGAAGTAGATGTTTTTCTGGAACTCCCTAGCTTTCTCCATGATCCAGCGTATGTTGGCAATTTGATCTCTAGTTCCTCTGCCTCTTCGAAATCCTGCCTGTACTTCTGGTAGTTCTCGATCCACATACTGCTGGAGTCTAGCTTGTAGGATTTTAAGCCTAACTTTACTAGCATGTGAAATGAGTGCAATGGTGCGATAGTTTGAACATTCTTTGGCATTGCCTTTCTTTGGAATTGGAATGTAAACTGACCTTTTCCAATCCTGTGGCCACTGTTGAGTTTTCCAAATTTGCTGGCAAATTGAATGTAGCACTTTTACTGCATAGTCTTTTAAGATTTTGAATAGCTCAGCTGGAATACTGTCACCTCCACTAGCTTTGTTGTTGCTCAGATTTTCTAAGGCCCATTTCACTTCACATTCTAGGATGTCTGGTTCGAGGTCAATGACCATCTCATTGTGGTTATCTGGGACGGATTAAGCTCATTCTTGTATAGTTCTTCTGTGTAGTTTTGCCATCTCTTCTTAATCTCTTCTGCCTCTGTTAGGTCTCTGCCATTTTGGTCCTTTATCATGCCCATCTTTGCATGAAACATTCCCTTCATATCTCCAATTTTCTTGAAGAGATCTCTGGTCCTCCCTATTCTGTTGTTTTCTTCTATTTCTTTGCACTGTTCATTTAAGAAGGCATTCTTATCTCTTCTAGCTATTCTCTGGAATTCTGCATTCAATTGGGTGTATCTTTCTCTTTCTCCTTTGCCTTTTGCTTCCCTTCTTTCCTCAGCTATTTGCAAAGCTTCCTCAGACAGCCATTTTGCTTTCTTGCATTTCTTTTTCTTTGGGATGGTTTTAGTTGCTACCTCTTGTACAATGTTGCGAACTTCCATCCATAGTTCTTCAGGCATTCTGTCTATCAGATCCAGTTCCTTAAATCTATTTGTCACCTCTACTGTATATTCATCAGGAATATGATTTAATTCATACCTGAGTGGCCTAGTGCTTTTCTCTACTTTTTTCAATTTAAGCCTAAATTTTGCAACGAGAAGCTCATGATCTGAGCCACAGTCAGCTCCTGGTCTTGTTTTTACTGACTGTATAGAGCTTCTCCATCTTTGGCTGCAGAGCACATAGTCAATCTGATTTCTATGTTGACCGTCTGGTGATGTCCATGTGTAGAGCCGTTTCTTGGATTGTTGGAAAAGAGTGTTTGTTATGACCATCGTATTCTCTTGACAAAATTCTATTAGCCTGTGCCCTGCTTCATTTTGTACTCCAAGGCCAAACTTGCCTGTTATTCCGGTTATCTTTTGGCTTCCTACCTTAGCATTCCAATCCCCCATGATGATAAGGACATAATTTTTGGTGTTAATTCTATAAGGTGCTGTAGGGCTTCATAGAACCAGTCAATTTCATCCTCTTCAGCAGCAGTGGTTGGGGCATAGATTTGGACTACTGTGATATTGAATGGTTTGCCTTGGATTCGAATAGAGATCATTC